TTTTGTTTTCCTTTGTTAAATGGCTTGCTTTTTTCTTATTGGTTTGTTTTCTCTCTCCTCTACTATATAAACATTTCTCTTACTCTTACTTTCTAATGACTCCGACGAAGGACTAACGTCCGAAACGTCAGTTACTATTTTCACTACGGTGTATAACTTATCATTCTACGATAACTGTTTTATTAGAAACACCGACGCAGTCCACGCTAGTGTTTACTAGCCATCATCTACAATAGTCTTATGACGTCAATTGGTCGTCACGGTAACCCGAAACAATACCTACCCGTCGTTTTATGCTAATATGCGATGAATAATTAATGTTCCCCGTCCTTCCCCGTCCTTCCCCGTCCCCTTCCCCGTCAAAAGTCCGGCCCGTGCCATCCCTACACTACTACTCAAATTGTATAATATCGTGCGTGTGTTTGGGAAACACTGTAAAACATGTTTTTCTTTTTTCCCCAACAGCAATGAGAAATCCACGTCGTGTAACAAGCTCCTTGATTTTGGTGGTAACAGTCAGCGTACTACCTATGATTGACTCGTTGTTCTTCATATCTGAGTCCATGACGCAAGACAGGATGCTTCAAGGTCACGTATTTGAAAGCCACTCAGGGATCACGAGCCAATTTGACTGTTATAGAAAATGCAATGCCTCTGGAAACTGCTACAGCATGAACTATCACCCGACAACTGGGCTTTGTGAGCTGAGCTGTAACTGTCATTTAGTGGTTCCTAATGATTTCGTTTACTCTCTTCATACAAAGTATTTCATGATACGTCAATGTCAAGTACTTCAATGTAGCTTTGGTACGTTTTTCTAAGTAGAATGGCTGCAGCAAGCAAAAAAAGGGATTGGTTACGATGAGGAATATTGATATTTCTAAATAGCTAATTTAGACAATCATATGATTAATAATTCGACTAGTCCTTTATACTTTTTTTATGTTACTCAGCTATTTTTTCTTTGCACAATTTGAGATCGATATTCAAGCTAATTTGCTAATGTTGTGTGACATAGAAACAATATATAAGGAATTGAAAGTCGGAGATAAATTGGCGATAAATTTGAGTTGAATATAATAATCGTCATTATCTTAATCATATGACCTTTACAATACGATATATAACATCTGAAAGTTTCACCATTGTTTTTTTTATTCCCAGAAACCGCGACGTTTTTGCATTTTCCACGTAGATCAGTTGAGGACAAAATCATATTTGTGGAGCCTTTTTTCAGTTTGACAACATTCACAATCAGCATGTGGATTCAGCCTGACATGGAGGGATCCACATTCCATGCGGTCCTCAGTTATGCTACCACTGCAATCGACAACGAACTAAATGTTTATATAAAAAACCCTATGATCAACGTGGCTATTAACAATGTCGCATTGTTAGTATTCCTTCAGCCATTAACTTTTATTGATAACCTGAAACAGCCTCTTGGATAATCTAGATAAGTCAAAGCACGGCTAACTCATTGATCGAGCCCTGAAACTATATTTTGGCTGATTTAAGTCAGGGCATGGCTAACTCACAGATCAAACCCTGAAACATGCAGCCTCTGGGTTGGAGTAAGTCAGGGCATGGCTAACTCACAGATCAAACCCTGAAACAACCTCTGGGCTGGACTTACTCAGGGTTTGGCTAACTCACAGATCAAACCCTGAAACAACCTCTTGACATATCTAAATTCTGGCACAGCTTACTCTTAGATGGAATTGAGATCTAGCTTGCTTGCTTTTGCGACGGGAGGAAAACCATAGAACCCGAAGAAAAGCCAACGACATTTATAACTAACTATATTCACATTTTATGCCCGGTCAAGAAATTGAATCTGAGACCCTTGAAGTGAGAAGCGAGTGCACTGACGCTTTAGCACCTTTAATTATAAGCTGTGTCAGTAAGAGCATCACTTACACTCTGATAAAGCACCAGATCCTCCAACACTTTAAACAAATAAATCGAAAGAAATGCTACTCTAACAACAAATAGACCATATGAAAAACGAGTGTAAAACTGGGAACGTGCACCACGAGCAATTTATGATTTCAAAAATGTATTTTTATTACGAGAAAGACCACGCCTAAATTAGTAATTTTGGAAAATTCTGTTGTGATATATATATATATATATAAATAAAACATGATGGCAAGGCTGGTAGGCCCTTCATTAAAGTTATCGTTTCCATACAAACCTTTCTAATATCGAACAGCTCTAGGTTTTTATCATTTAATGTTAATACACTGAAATTTTGGAAGATCACTAATTTCTTTCTAATGAGAGCATCAGTGTTGTCTTCTATAACTGATTAACTAAGGCATCTCAAAGGAAACGCCCTTGTCACATGGTCTATAGAACAACTATGTATCTGATGATATATCGGTTGTAATGAGTGGCGAAATATACTCATTATACAGAGTATCTCAACCAGTTTTATGATAATTAGGAGGAAAGAGCGTCTCTATTGTGTCCGGCCTTCTATTTCAGGACCGTGTTGTTTCCATTTATGTTGTAACTTAGCAACCAATGGATTACTTCAGAATTCTTGTTCTCATTGATATAAGTAAAACGCCATTGCAGTTGGAAAATGGACCAAAAGAAAGGCTAAGTTACAGGTTGAGACGCTTTTAATCCGCCTCGTATGTAATAGTTTTATTGTCTTGTGTAATGGGGTTTTATTTTCTCTTTTACCAAATTTTGCTCTGAAATCRCCTGCTCAGTAGACCATTAATCACAACACCACCGTGGTGTTCTTCTATAAAATTTGACATTGAATCTCGACGTCCTTTCGAAAGCTTACACAGCATTCCGCTATTTTTCTAAGTTTCAGTCCCTAAAACCATATCCTTTCTTCAATTTTTCCGTAGAATAACTCGTGAAACATATTTTGCGCAATAACTAGATCTAGTTTGTGTTGATTGCTAAACTAAGACAGAAAATCGTGTCGTAATCAGAATAGTTTAACCTGTTTATTCCTCATCTATCTTTCTTCAAAAGCGGCACCATTTAGAAAAGCAGAGAGTTGGAAGGTGACTTCACGAACGGAAACAACACTGTTCTAGTCATTTGCCCAGAGATACCCCTTTCCTCCTGCCTACACATCAATTTTCTAAATTATTTTGAACTTTTTACCCAGGAAGAGTAACGGCCGCAAAAATTTAATTGGCCGTTGGCATCATGTCTGCGTAACCTGGAAGAATGATGATGGCAAGATAGCAGTCTACCTTGATTGCGAAAAAATAAACGATGGCACTTTAAAGAGGGGTCACGTGATTACAAAAGGTGCATTGATTCTTGGTCAAGAACAAGACGGCTACATGGAACGTTTTGATAAAGACCAGACATACAAAGGGAACTTGACGAGCCTCAACATCTGGGACCGAGTGTTCACAGCAGACGAGATCAAAGAACTGTCTGCCTCTTATCATACCCTACAAGGGAATGTAGTTAAGTGGTCAGATTTAAAACAAAGAACCCATGGCGAAATCCAGGCTTTGTGTGATCCTATTTGTCCTCCATTTGGTGTGGTAAGTCACACCTAGTTGTCGGTTGGCAGTTTCTCTGGAATTTTCTTAGCCTTATATATGTTTCAATCCAGAGTTCAAGGATTCAGTCATAGTTAATTAATATAGATAGCTAGATAACACTCTCGGCATTATCAAATCAATGGATCGGACACCTTCCAGTAGATTTTGTTGTCGACGCCCGATTGCACGAATATTGCACACAACCATTGTCATATAAAACGGCACTCTTGATCAGGGATTTGCATAAGTAAAAACAAGAGTAAGAGTTTTAAGTCAGTGAATATTAAGTAGGAGGCAAACGTTCGTCTCCTTTATTGTACAATTCCTTTATTGGCATTAAAGTCACTCAACCCAAAGTTTGGTTAACATAATGGGTGCTTTTGCTTTGTTGTTTTCGTTTTTGGTTTTGGTTTTACTGGGTTTTTTTTTGGTTTTTTTTTGTTTTGTTTTTTGTTGTTTTGTTGTTTTTTTCACATCGACAAATAAAGTTACAATGCTACAATAATACACGACGACGCGCTAAAGAACTAATGCATTGACATCATATTAATATGCTTTCAAGACCATTTCAATAACTTATGAATAATTTTTGAAATACCTTTTTTTTACATTTTTTTAATTATTTTACAAAATCCATTTTTTGATACAGATAGTTTGAAAGCTGAAGTAGTAACCATGACAAATTTTTCAATGCTTAGGGTGTAATTAAAACCAAAAATTGTATTTTCAACTGACTTTGAAGCGGGTATGAGATCACTGTCAGCATAAATGGATTGAGCACGAGAAGATCAGTCTTGTCATCATAGACCTTCAGATTGTTTGACGACATGCATCCAGACCGATCTGAGTCTATGATAGATTCAGGTTCTCTAGTTGCCGAAGTATAGAGGGACATATACATTGGGTGGTACATCATCCGCGGAAAAGTGATATGACATATTATGATATCTATATATGACTATTAGACAATAATTAGACAATACATAATTCACCCTAAAATCGATTAACCCTAACTATTGGTATAAATAATTAGCCACTTAGGTATAGATATTCGATATTATCCGATATTAAACATGTTTGGGCACGTCACGTGATCCTGGCCTCCCTGTCGAAAAAAGACCACGAGGCTCGAGATAGAAGACTCTCATGTTGTTTTTATATTGTCACAAAATTGCACTTAAGGTAAAAGTAATTCGAAGGAAAAGGATATTTATTTATACCCCGCAAGATTGTAAGTATCTAGGTTGTTATTCTTCTAAATTCGTCTCCATTTCATGTATAATTTGTCTGTAATCTGTAATTTATGTCTTACATTGTAGTTTTTACCGAACGAAAGATCGAGCGTGATAAGATTGATTTGCTTGGCTAATCGAGTTGAAATTCTTGTGGAATAAAGTCTATACGTAAAAAGATCCAAGCTTGACTTTGATAGGGACAGGGAGACCCTTTTTAAACCCCAACAAAACAATTACTCAGGATGAGAATGAGCATGATATCGTAAATTATCAAGATCGAGGTCTGTGTTATCTATTCTGTTCGTATGTAATGGGTAACTTGCTTTGTAAGGGAAGTTAATTCCTGTTGCAGATGCAACTATTCATTAAAGAACAACACAAAATGATGAACTTTGCTCGAAAAGCTTCCTATATTGCTACAAGTTAGGGTAACTGGTTAGGGGACTGGGACAGAGTAACAAAAAATACGAAGCATTTGTCACAGAAGTATACGTATCAAAGTATTTTTTATGCAGATTTTCGGTTTCTGAATATTCTTATATTTGTGCGCATTTTTAAAATGTTATTCCTTCAAACATTTTATTGATTTTAACATGCTCTTTCCAATTATTTCAAGTATTATTTTTCTGATTTACTAAATCGAAAATATCTGATAACTGCTTACTGAAACGTTAGGTCAAACCTTCTTCATCATTCACTAGTCAATTGACACCACGCCCCCCGACCCCCGGAACAGGGGACAGGGTGGGGAATTAACTTTGCGAGATCAGGAATTAAATACGCATTCCCCATTAATTCCCCGTCCTGTCCCGGGGCTATAGGAAAGAGGATGGGGGGGGGGGGGGGTTGAGGGTTGTATAGACAATTGCGTTATATTAAGCTTTTTATGGTAAGATAATGTTAAGAAAATGCTTTAAAGCATCACAATATGTTTATCCTTCACCAAATGATTTGCCGATGTGGCAATATCTTTAATTTACACCGAAACACTTGGATGTCCAATTTTTACCAGATCTTTTTAAGTTTTCTGCTGAATAAATGAATATTTTGATCGCATAGGTAACCACGACACTATCAGCTGTGTGTTGGCTCCCATGATGGCAGCCGTGCTCCAGTTGCAGGTCATTGAATCTCAACTATTTGATGCTGCAAGGACATGTGTTTGAAACTTATTCAGGAATAACAATTACCCTGCAAGCAGAGTCTCCTTTCACACGCCCATAGAGGAGGTGAATAGGAACTGCTCGCACGGCTATGAGAAACAGAAGCGAGCTAGCATATCCCTTAGTAAAAGGCCTACAGCTCAAGAGAAAGGAACTACTTGAAACATATATATATATTTTATATTTTTTGTGTCATGTAAACGTGCCAAAAGTTTTGATTGCATTTTTTTCTTGAAAACTGTGTTAATTGTATTTTGTTTTGAACAGCACCGAAGAAGTTTGCTGTGGCTTTCAATAATCTGCGAACTCAAACAATTCAACACCGTATGGCTTAAGCTTATTGTGAAATTGTAATGATGGAAAGGTAAATTATACACCGTGAAAAGATGAAAAAAACGTACTGACGTTTCGGACGCTAGTCCTTCGTCGGAGTAAAAGAGAAAGAAGTGGTAGAAAGGAGTGTTTATATAATGAGAATAAGACAAAAGAAACCACGTACTTGAAGCTAAAAAAAGTCAACTACATAGTCGTGAAGTATTTGTGCCTATCTGACTCCTTACATGGAGCGATTAAAGTCAACGACATCATCGTTATAGAGTCGTAGCATCCAAAAAGGCAATGACAACGAAAACAACAACAACAACTACAAAAACGTTTAACATTTCCCTTCATGCTTTCCATACCGCATGCGAAGTACACTTAGCTAGCTACCCAGGATTCTTCTAACTTCAAGTCCTGACGTCACGAGGGGTTTTTTTAACGCACAAACATCTTCCAAGTGTCCCCAGCTTGTACACTCGAGACATAGTCGTCGCAAGTGAATAGAAAAGTCATGGCATGTTTCTTTACCCAGGTTGCAAGTCTCTTGTACAACATCCAAGAAGTTTTGATATCTGAGTGTCCCCACGTATTACAATTATTCACTCCCTCAACGCTTCCCCACATGGCACAGTTGGCTGCCAGTATCGAATTATCGTCGGGAAGACGAATGAAAGAATTACAAGCCTTTGCATTCGAGGAAGCCTTTACGAAGTACCTGGAAGCAAAAGTAAAATTGAAGCGATAAGCTATTATTTTGGGCTACAGATGACACTAAACAGCAAGTAATTTAATTTATAGTGATCGTTCCCCATTTTAAATTATGCAAAATTAAATTTTGATCTAGTTATTGTAATCGAATATTTAACCCTGAAAAACCGCTGGGTTAACTTAAATAGAGCACGACTAAGAAAATAAATTTCATTCCGAAATACGCCTCATCCGATGTAAGTCAGGGCTCATTATCGACTCATCCTGAAACATCATCAAGGCCGGAGCTTATTTAGGGCGCAGCTGACTCTCAAATCGCTATCCGAAACAACCGATGGACTCATATATAAGTCATGCCATGGCTTAGCCTTAGATTGCAACCTAAAACATTAAAAAACAAAAACAAAACAAACAAACAAACAAACAAACAAAAACAAAAAACAACAAAAATACAACAACAACAACAACAAAAAAAACAAAACAAAAAAATAAAAAAAAACTGCTGGGCTGGCCAAACACAGGGCACTTCTAAGTCATAGAGTGAATTCTGGAACAAAAACTAATGGCCTGATCTATAAAGCATGGCTAATTCGTATTGAATCTTGAGACAGACAACCTCTGGACTGATCTTATTATAATTCAGGTCATGAATAACTCATTGATGTGAGTGAAGGCATAGCTAACTCAACGATCGAACCCTAAAACAAACAACCTGTAAAATGATCTAAGTCAGGGAAGGCTAAATCACATATTGAACCCTAAAGCTATCTCTGGGCTGATCTTTATTTATTTATTTAATTATTAGTGACATCTTTGCAGATTACATACATATTAAAAAGAAAAAAGGAATGAAAAAATCCGGATACGCTTAAACTACATGAGGGGCAGAGCGAACGGACTCGTAGTCCCCACGAGGCTAGCCCAACTTAAACAAAGCAAAATAGTAACTAAGTAAGTTGATAGGAAAAAACTCAATACAAGGTGTACAAAACACATATTAACAACAATTAAAGCGAGTAACCGATCTACAACGAGGACATACAGATTTCCATGTCTGAATTCTAGGATTGTCGAAAAAACAGGTGAACTTGTCAAAGTAGAATTCATAGAGCATTTTCTTGAAAAAAAGTTACACAGGGATCTTTACATAAAGAAGTGGAAGTGCATTCAACAAGATAACAATATCGTTAAAGAACGAGYCCTTGATCTAATTAAAGGCAAGGCTAAATCACAGATTGAAGTGGAATTTAGCCTGTAATTAAGCGGCAATCAATTAAATCATAGGTTATTTTCATTTTAAGCATTATTTTTCTTAATTAAGAAACTGGAAATTTTTGTGCTAAAAGAAGAACAAGAGAGAAGYTTATGAAGTCACGACTCGAAGCAGGCGCGGACACTTGTTTTTTAACGCTTTTTTAAAATCCGAAACGCAAAAATTAACTGAATATGAAGATTTTGTTGTTGTTGTTGTTGTCGTCAACGGGAAGCGAAAATTCACAGCGCATGGAAAAGATTGAGATGACGTTAGCATTTTGATACCGCTAACATGGTATTTCGACCAACCAGAGCGCGTGTGCGTAAACTTACTCGCTCATTTGTTTTATCATACTAAATCACCTGAGACTTTGTTTTTTACTAAGAAAAATAAGTTCACTAATGCATAATAACCAAAACAATTACCTGACAACGTCGTATCCCGAGGCATTTTTGGCCGTCATAATGTGAAAAACTCTGCCAACAGATGCTTTACGACAATAGTACCGTAACTGAATAAACCCCATGTCTTGTTTAAGCTGCAGAAGTGCAGGCTGGTTGATGAATTGATACAATCCCAGATTAGAAATTTGTCGATAGTCTGAAACTTCTGATAAAGAAGAGGAGAGTGATCCCGTCAGCGGAGTCGCGATTGCATCCTTGAT